AGACAATTTCGTCAAGCCTGTTGTTGCTATACATCACCACCATATATCACTGCACTTTTGGTAGCTAAAGGGCCACTATAACAGTTAAACATCTATTGCTTATGAACATCATTTCATTTGATGTAGATTGCTTTGTTGGCTATGTGTACGTCTAAAGGGCACGATCAAATGCAGCAAGGTAGTGACAATTTCGTCACGCCTGTGGATGCAACAAGGCGTGACAATTTCGTTAAGCCTGTTGTTGCTATACATTACCACTATATATCACTGCACTTTTGATAGCTACAAGGGCCGCTTTAACAGTTAAAGATCTATTGCTAATGAACATCATTTCATTTGATGTAGATTGCTTTTGTTGGCGATACGTAGTCTAAAGGACACGATTGAATGCAACAAAACAGTGACAGTTTAGTTTAGCCTGTTGTTGCTATTGATCACCACCATATATCACTGCACTTTTGATAGCTACAAGGCCACTTTAACAGTTAAAGATCTACCACTATATATCACTGCACTTTTGATAGCTAAAGGGCCACCTTTAACAGTTAAAGATCTATTGCTCCACTATATATCACTGCACTTTTGATAGCTAAAGGGCCGCTTTAACAGTTAAAGATCTATTGCTAATGAACATCATTTCATTTGATGTAGATTGCTTTTGTTGGCATTACGTATGTCTAAAGGACACGATTGAATGCAACAAAACAGTGACAGTTTAGTTTAGCCTGTTGTTGCTATTACATCACCCACCATATATCACCTTTTGATAGCTACAAGGCCACTTTAACAGTTTAAGATCTATTGCTAATGAACATCATTTCATTTGATGTAGATTGCTTTGTCGGGGATGCGTACGTCTGAAGGACACGATCAGTGACAATTTCGTCAAGCCTGATGTTGCTATACATCACCACCATATATCACTGCACTTTTGATAGCTACAAGGCCACTTTAACAGTTAAAGATCTATTGCTAATGAACATCATTCGATGTAGATTGCTTTGTTGGCGATGTGTACGTCTAAAGGGCACGATCAAATGAATCAATCACTTTTGATAGCTACAAGGCCACTTTAACAGTTAAAGATCTATTGCTAATGAACATCATTCATTGATGTAGATTGCTTTGTTGGCGATGTGTACGTCTAAAGGACACGATTGAATGCAACAAGGCGTGACAATTTCGTTAAGCCTGTTGTTGCTATACATTACCACTATATATCACTGCACTGATTTCGTCAAGCCTGTTGTTGCTATACATCACCACCATATATCACTGCACTTTTGATAGGGCTGAAGAAGAGAGCTGAAGGGTCTTTGCTGAAAGCGAAGACACTTGTGGGGAAGG